TTTTTGCCGTAAATCGACGTTTTCTCAAAAACGGCTGGAACGATTTCAAAAATTTAAAAGCAATTCGGTGTATCTCGATGAGAACTTTTGTTTGTCAGTTCTGTGTGACGATCGGCCATCCGTTTCTTTGTGAATAGCAGAAAAGTGAAAAATATTTTCGTCCACGTTTTAGCCCGCAATTCTGAATCGATTTTAAAAATTCAAAAATTGTTCAAAAGATATTGGTTGGAAATCTTGCAAATTAGTTTTTGGTAGAGATCGGCCGAGCCGTTTTCTTGTAATAAAGTGTAAAATTTTCGACAATTTTTATGATTTTTTTTACGGTAGATACCATAGTCTTATAGATCATACTAAAATATTACGGCCCTACAACTCGTTTAACTTTAAAAATTCGTCAAAGTTTGCAAAAATTAGTATATTTTTTTTGCTATTTGTCAAAATTAGACCTTTCATCGACGTTTTCTCAAAAAAGTCTGAACCGATTTCAGAAATTTGTCAGTTTTGTGCGACGATCTGCCGAGCCGTTTTTTTGTAATTTGAAAAAAAAGTGTTAAACTTTTCGTCCACATTTAAGCTCATGCTACTGAATCGATTTAAAAATATCAAAAACTTTTCGAAAGGTATTAGTTGGGATTGATGCTGATTAGTTGTAGATGATAATCTACCGAGCCGTTTTCTTGTAATTAACTGTTGAAAAAAAATATTTAATCCAATTTTAATTTTTATGGAACTTCTTTTGGCGATATATAGCATAGCCTTGTAGAACTTACTGAAATATTACGGCCTTACAACAAGTAGTTCAATTTTAAAAATTCATCAAAGTTTAAGAAGATGAGTAGTTTTTTTGACCTTTGTTACAATTAAAATTAGATGATTTACTTGGTCTTAATGAACATACTAAACCATTGAAGTCCTACGGAAACTGGTTCAATTATAAAAATTATTGATTTTTGAAAATTTGCTTTTACAAAATACTCCAAGTTAACATGTTCGTTCATTTTCAGTTATGTGTAATAAATCCACAAAGAATACTTTTGATCACTCATAAATTATTAAGTCGATTATTTACACATATCGGGAAGTTCATGTAACTTGCCTCAAGGAAAAATACCAATATCAACTAATTTTAACAAATATGAAGAAACAGTACTACCGATTTTTGTCAACAACTAATCAGCATGATACCCTAATGATATATATCAAATAGTTTTTGAATCTTCAAAATTGGTTCAAAATTTTTGGCAAAAACGTGGACAAAACTGACACCTATTACAAGAGGTATAATTTAAAAAATAATTAAAGTTTTGATAGAAGGTTCATGCAACTTGCCTCATAGCAAAATGCCACTTACACTAAATTTTCTATTAAATACAATCTATGAATATAAATACCTGAACTCTCATAAACGTCTTATCCAGATCAACATCAGGAGCATCATTAATATTATGCAAATCGAATTCTTCAAGAAATGCATCAGCTAATGGATCATCTAATAAAATATTGGTTTCAAAATTGTTTACCACATTTGTATTTGATGAAGTGGAGATTGTACTTGCTTCACGTGTATTAGAATCAATTATTTCGGATTGTAGAGGCTTTATGGCAATATTTCTATTATTCTCTGAAAAAATAATGATAAAATAAGTTTTATTGCATAAACTTAGTAGCTTGAATTACTTAAGAACCTCGGAATGTTAGATACCTAGCTGTAAGTCTGTAAATACTTGTAAATTGATACCCTAAAGTTGTCTCAAAACCTACATATGGTATTGACACCCTACCCTATGTAGGTTTTGAGACAACTTTAGGGTGTCGAATCGATATACAAGTATTTATAGACTTACAGCTGGGTATCTCGAATTCCAAAAGCACACACACATGCATTTTTTCTGAGGTATGCCAAAATGTTCAGAAACCTTCAAAACGTCGAGAAATGCAGGAATTTTCATTTTCGATTTTCGGCCCATTACTATAACTACCCTACGGGAAATTAAAAATAATGATTTAAATATATACTATTAAACATAATGAACAAAAAAACTTACATAAATACAAATTAAAGAAAATTTTTCATTTTCACTTCATCCAATACATTAAAAAATAAGTGTTAAAGCTGAACAACCCTTGATAAAATTATTTTTTTATGTAAAATTGAGCTTTTTCATATGTTCAAAAAATCTAAATCGAAATTTAGGCAAAAACGTTCACTAACAAAAATTTAAATAAAAATGATGTAATTACTATAATAATTCTTACGAAATAGAGTTTAGTAGTAAGAGGGTAAAAATATAGGGTTATGTGTTTTATACGCATCATCTTAAATATAAAATGCCTCTGTAATGATATATGTAAATAAACTCCTCCTAAACGATTATTCGGATTTTGATAAATCTTTCTGAAGTTTATTAAAGGATTTTTTTAAGATGTATGTTATTAAAAAAATATAGTAATATTGTAGAAATAAATGGAAAAAATTGCAAAAAAAAACGACATGTCATTGTTTGACATTGAAAATATTTGAGACATTGTTCGGCATTGTAAACAAATGAAAATGGTCATCTGCCAAAAGTTTCAATTTACTTATGAGCCTAGACAATATTGGAATATGTATAATAAATTGATGACTAAGAATAAGCAGAACAAAATGTCTACATTATTACTGCAAAAAGCAGGTGAGATGTGCCAGAAATTAAAATAATATAAGATACAGTATATGTATGACAGATTGAATGATACACATATGAACAGGATTTGACAAATTAATTCACTTAAAATATGAAATTAGGTAATAATCAGGGCCGATCCTAACTTGAATGGTCTTTTGGGATTCGGATATTAAATTTTCAATATAGTTTTTTATTTCAAAATAATTTCTTTGCAACTTTTACTAATCGTTGCACAATATTTTAAAAATACGTTAAAAATTTCACTTTAAAACAACAAATCGGAAAGATGAATACATACAATTCAGCCCTTATGATATCAATTAAGAGAAGTTTAATATGCAATTTTGGATATCTTAATTAATAAAAAATTAAATTAAAATAATCTAACATGGAGTACCAGTGTTATGTTATGGTTATGTTCAATAATGAGAGAATAAATCGCTTATAATGCCCAAAATAAATAAGTAGAATGTTTTAAAAGCCAAATGTTAATTAGTGATAATAATTTTAATAATAAACTGTTAATAAATAATAATAATAAAATAATAGGGGAGGGGGAGCTAGAAAAAAAATGGCATGCGGGGTCTGAGGACCCCAGGAGCCTGGTATATTAAATTATTACCAAGAAAAGAGGAATTTAGATATTATAATTACTAAAAACCAGTTAAAATATGATACGAGATTATAAAAATTATAGGCAACATTATTAGAGCAATTTTTTGGGTGGAAAAATTCAAGGTAATATTGTACTTTTGCTGCAGATACTATATATTAATTTTTTCTGAACTTGTTATGCGGTTTAAAAAACTTCAATTTCCAATATAGTGTGGAAATTAAAACTTTGGAACAATAAATTGAATAAATTTTTTTTATGTATAATTGAGCTTGTTCATAAGCTCAAAAAATCTCAAACAAAATCCAATCAAAAACGTTCACTGACAAAAATCGAGATGAAAAATGATGTAATTACTATAATAACTCTTACAAAATATGAGTTTGTGGTAAGAGGGTAAAAATATAGGGTTGTATGTGTTTTTAGATGCATTATAAAATAATAAAAATTGACCTAAAAAAAACTTTGGGGTGGCCAACCCGTACCACTTGGTTTCAACCAAAATATGCAAAAACCTGTCCGGGGATATACCTAACAATTTCCCAAATTTCCATGGCGATGGGATGTATGGTTTATGAATTCATAGTACATACACAGACAGACATATGTACATTAATTTTTATATGTCTAGTCTAGCGATTGGGGAACTTTTTCAATAATCACCCCCACATATTTTTGTCTAAGTTGATATAACCCCCTTAGCAAAAAGAGATTACTTCCATACATACAACTATGTAGAAAATACAGTAATTATTAAATAAAAATATATACTTTTTATCCCCATTAATCCCATTTTTACTCCATTTGGGGTCATTTACCCCGGTTCTCCAACCACTGGTCTAGTCAATAGATTAGGAGGGATATATGGGAAATAAACTAAGAATTTTGAGACCTTTCTAACGATGTATAATACTTCATAATGTGTTTTTTTTATAGAAATATCGAATAGTATGAATAGTTGGTCAAACTTAACTGTACTTTGCATTCGGCATTTCTATAAAGTTTGAGTTCCAGAAAAGTATGGATGCAAATTTAAATGAATCGATGGAAGGGCACTACAAGGAGTGGACTTAATTTGGCTTAACACGGAAAACCTCACCAGATCAAGACACCGGAAGGATTGACAGATTATAATAGCAATCCATTATGACTTACTCAATAAACTACTATCTGCTGACAGGTTTATAGACTTTAACAATGTATTTATCACAGAATTCGGTTCCAATAGTGTCTCAACCTCACCGCCAAGGAAAGTAACATGATGATTTTCCAAATATAACATCCCACTAGAGCTAACATTTATTGGGCCTGAAATGGAATAAAGAAATTAATAAATATAATCAGTAATTTAGCATAATTAGGTGCAGATGGTACCTTTTAAAATTATTTTACTGCCAGGTGCTGTGTTAAGTGACAAACACTTAATCTGTCTATATTCCATAGCTTGAATTTCTTTCGTTCCATCAGATAAAAACAATTTTAGGACTCGTGAACTGTTTAAAAATAGAGTAATTAGGCATAAAATTACACTTCAAAGCCTATTAACTTCCAAAAAGAGAAGTTTATGTTTTCGCAAAAAATCCGATTTGCTAATTCATACGATAGTGACATTATTCTTAAGTTAAGAATTTTACTTATATATAAGATTATTAATCTAGAAAGATTAATAATCTTATATATAAAATTCTTCTGTACGGGTGTATGATTTGATATTTCTCCTAAACGGTTATTCGGGTTTTGATCATTCGTTTTAGAGTTTGTCAAAAATTTCCAAAAGATTGAAAACATTTAGCTGAAATTGTGAGCCTAGATAATATTAGAATATCATATACAAAAAAATGTAATGTCTATATTATTATTGCCGAAAAGCAGCTGATATAATCCAGAAATTAAAATAATATAAGATACAGTCAACAATATATGTTTGGCAGATAAAGTTATGTAATTCAGTTTAATAAAAAAACGCAATAAGTCCAAAATTGTATATACATAAATTTTTTGGACTTATGCATGTAGCATTTTAGTTTACTTTACTAAATTATTTAACAATAGAATAAAATATTTCTACTTATTAAAAAATTGATTTAGAAATTAGATTCTTATGCCAAAAATTAATTTGTTTGGCATTGGACATGGAATATTGATCAAGTTGATCTTAGATTGAAGAGTGCTCATATGAACTAGATTTCTCAAATTAATCCACCCAATGTTTGAACATAAACAATAATGTTTATTAAATTATTAATAAAAAAATTTACTTTAGAAATTATAATTGCCAAAAAGCAACTAATATATCATACAAGATTATAAAAATTATAGACCAAATTATTGAAGCAATTATGTTGTGTGGTAAAATTAAGTGTGATATTGAAACATGAAAAACATCTTGAAAATTAAAAAAAAAAAATTAGGTATAACCTAGCGACAAATTTTAAATAAAACTCATTCATTTGTTCGCTAAATTATATCTAAAAACATTATTAAAAAAATTTCATGCTATTTCCGTACAAAACTTTGATTGAATTGCACACTATTTAAAAACCAATATTAAGAACTAAAACTTGGAGAAAATTGTTTTTTATCAATTTGGAACCATTTGAGCCCTTGGAAGCAAGAAAATTAAAAATGTCCATATTAAGGACTACCCTAATACGTGTTTTGTGTGTTTGCAATTTTTCATCCACGTTTTCGGGCTACGGATCAACCGATTTGAATTGTTAAAAAAACATTCGAGTGATAAGGAGATGTGCTGATTAGTTTTTTGCAAAGGCAGGTCCAGCCGTTACGGAAATACGGAACAAAAGGTGCAAAAAATAGAAATCAAGTTTTTGAGAGAACGGAGTATCCGATTTGAATAATCCAAAAAACATTCAATTCGTAATGATTGCGGGAAGTGTTGATTAGTTTTCGCAAAGATACAGAGCTAAATGTACAAAAAGTTTTTGAGAGGACTAAGCATATGATTTGAATGATTCAATAACTTTCTGCTTGTATTGACAAAACAATTGTTTTTGGAAAAAAGAATTAATTCAAAATTAATTTTATTTTTTGCAAAAAAAATTTTTGTTGTATATCAAAACTAATTCAGATTTTAATTTTAATTCTGACTGAAGTTCTAAAGCTCATTTATATACTTTAAATAAATAATTTTAACTTTGTAATTCAGTTTATATAGTTCTTACAAATATTAGACAAAGTTACAGTATTTATAATACTCTATTTGAAAACATTTAATATTCCTCGAAAATTTCATTATGGTACGGATAGTTCCTGCAATTTGTCTTGAGGCACAATGCCATACACCACTAATTTTGGCTTTTTTTGTGGCCTCTAAAAAATGGCAGTGTGAAAATTAGTCATAGCCTCAGTGATGAAAAGTTGATTACCTAATCAAAGCAATAATCAATTAGAATTAGGATTTTTTAGTGCAACACGTGATATCACAAAGAAGTTTCATGTACCACCTAAAAGAATTTGCATGTGCTTAAAAACTCAATACATTGGTTCCAAAACTGAAAGAAATGCATAATCAAAAAGAAAATAACCCATTTTTAACTGACAATGAAAAACGGGTTGTGTACATCAAGCGAAATGGCCATGCAGCAGTTCATATCAACCAGTTAAAAAAAGCCGATAGTTATCAGAAGAAGGTTTCGATTGCAGTTTGAACTCTTATTACTCATCGGAACGATTAATTCCCATGTCTACATTCACATCCAATAAATAATGACATAGACTTGCACCATCTTATCACTTTTGTTTCGATATTTGAAAAGCTCCTTGAATGGTAAATAATTCAATAATCATAATGAAATCAAATTGTATCAGATTCGGTTTATTGGTTATTTATATGAAATTATGATGTTGCTTGGAAGATGCAAAAGTTGTTATTTAGTGCTATGAAAATATTATCTTTAATTAGACAAAAATCAGTTGATACAATGATCTAACTAACCTTTTCTCTTTTTCCATTTCCTCTTCGGTCTGTTCTACTGGTAAATTGTACAGTTTTTGAATTTGACTATATGCACTTGCACCTATTTGACATAAGTATACAATTAATAAACTAAATTGCGTTAATAAAAATTACTACAAAGAATATTTACTTATATCAATTAATTTCTGGATCTGTAATACAAAACTTCCAGGAAGCACTTTTGTTGTTTTATCTAACTCCGGAAGAGAATTTGATGTAGTATCAGCTAGATCATTTAACAGCCATTGTTGAAAAGCTTCTTCTTGAAGATTTTGAAGAGACATATTTTGGTTTTCAGACAAGAAATATTCGACACATCTGTAAATGTAATAAATATTATCTTCTATCTAAATACTTATAAGAAAACATTTCGATAGTAAAAAAAAATTGAATATATTTGCTTGTAAGTAATTACATTGATTAACAAGTTCTTAACCGTTTTTATTGACAATGGTAAACTTGTCTGTCTGAAATTTACTTACTGTGTCAACCAGATATCTTGTATTTTAATATGTTTTTCATTAAACCATTTTTTGACATTATTTACTTGATTAGAAAGCATGTTCGTTTATTATTTTATTAGACCGTTGATAAATATTATCTTTTAATTTTGACATTTATGAAATGAAGACCATAGATAAGAGAGTAAGTAGATCTGCCGACTAAGTTTGCTTTAGCCGGCGAACAGAGTAGCCAGCACTACCATAGATAAACAAGTATAATAGATCGCTATGTCTAGCGGTTTGACGTTACCTCGATTGAAATACAAATTTTAAAAAATAGATGGCAGCACATGTATAATATTTAAATTACCCCTGGTTTTACTTCTTAATTTGTACGTATCGTATACAGCCCCAAAAACCTGAATTATTTTTAATATTGGAAATAAGAACAAATCATACGAAATACAAAATATATATTTTCAAAGATATTACATATGTTTAAAGAACAATTAAAATTATGTTTATATTAACAATTATAATTACAGTTATGGAATGTTTGAAAATATAATAATTATTATACATAACTAGCAAACTCGACGAACTCCGTTTCGCCACCAGATGGTTTCGTGAGAAAGATGAAGAAATTTTTTGTTTGTTTTATATATGAAAAGGAAAAATTTGATTTTATTACACAACATAATAAATTTATTTCGATTACAAAAATGAAGTGTTTTTTAGTTGAACTTCTCTAAGTAAATGAAAGTGAATCCGCAAATTATCCGTTTCATTGAAGTGCTCTTTGGTAAACCACATTTTTTGTTTTTTGGTCTGACGTTAACACAAACAAAGCGGATGGTTTCCAACTCGTGAATGATTTTATAAATAATCTATTTGAAATTTATCCCGCAAACACTAAGCGATTGACTTTGCGACTTGTCATTGCGAAAGCAAGGCGAACTGGAAATTGCAATCGTTGAAGTCAAACGGAAGACCAGTTGGAATCATTGGTATGTCACCAAATCGCCAGCAATTTTTGATTGAATGGTGAAATTCAGTGCGTGTACATCATTATTCATTGCGGCAAGAACTGCTCGTTGACTAACCAAGCAATTCTGATAATTCTCACTAATGTCATTACTCGAATTTTCAATTACGGTGCGTGAAGTTCCAGCAGCTTGCATTAAGGCACGATGCCATGCACCACTAATTTTCTTAGCTATAAACCTTGCGGAGCCCGAGACCTTTGCAACAAATGCAAAATTGTCGAAATCGGTTCGTGCGTTCTGGAGTTATTTCGTCAGGAAGGAAAACCCGACTTATTTTTATATTTATAGAAGATAATCTATTTGCAATTATTTAAAACAATTATTGATTATTTTATTACTCGAATTTTTAATCACGGTGCGTGAAGTTCCAGAAATTTGCTTAGGGCACGATGCCATGCACCTCTAATTTTCTTAGCTATAAACCTAGCGGAGCCCGAGACCTTTCCAACAAATGCAAAATTGTCGAAATAGGTTCGTGCGTTCTGGAGTTATTTCGTCAGGAAGGAAAACCCGACTTATTTTTATATATATAGAAGATTATAAAAGTATTATAATTTCACAATTATGCTTAAATAATATTTCAAAAACTAAATATCTAAGTGAAGAAAATCACAGAAGTATTTAACTAAACTAAGCACAAATAACTGACTAATATTAATTACTTAATGACTAATATTAATATATTAAAATCTTAAAAACTAAGAAGAAACTACAAGCACAGGAGCACGCAATGAAATTACAAATTTAGAAGGAATGACAAATAATACAAAAATTTAAAGGGTTAAAAAAAACAAATAATTTGTTAAAAAGTACAAATACTTCACAAACAAAAAAGTCCTATTAACATAAAATATATATATTGATATCAAATTGAGAGAAATTCAAATTCCTAGGATTAAAACTCATTTACGAGACATTGTTCTTTATTAATTCTGCATGTAATAGTTATTTCGCTATCTAATGAATTAATAGTGAAATTGCATTTAACAAAACCTTCGAATAGTTTCTGTACGAGTGTTTTATAACATTACATTTAGCCATGTTCCATCATGAAAACATTATCATTGAAATTGCCATGAAAGATCAACAAAGTGTTTACAATAAACAGAATAATGTTTTATGCACATACAATTTATGAATCAAAAGATAAAAGCAATATTTTTGATTCCCAAGGTCGGTAACAAATATATCTTGAATTTAAACATTATATTGGGATGTTACACAAGTTTTATTTGAAGAATATTATAACACTAATCTTCAATCAAAATACATTAAAATATTATGTATGGTATATACTCTCTTTATAAGTGTTTACATTTTGCTAATGTAATAGATAATCTTATTAAATATAACAATGAACTTACGTTGATGAAATTTAAACCATACTAACTAGCTGAATAACTGTTTTGCAACTTCAACATATAGATTCAATCCAATCATATAAAAATTCCGAAGATAATGGTATTTCATCAAACATCAAACTCAGTATCTGCTACTAATACTTTTTAAAAGAAATAGCTGAACCTAATGTTTTAAATAGACACTCATAAATACCGCTATACACTTGTATCTCTGAATGCAACTTTCTCAATGTTTGAGGACATGACAAATAAATATTTGTCTCCAAAAATAGTAGACCTTTGGAGACTTTTTGTACGACTTATTCCTTAATTATTGCATTGTTTATGAACCTTCTTGTCATTACATATTGCATCCTTGGTTGTCAAAAGTACTCCTGCGCTTTGTTCGTGCATTTGTCAGCAATTTGCAGGTACCCCCAAGACACCCTCATTCAAATATAAAACATGTTGACACATCTTGATTATATAAATTATTCTGCAATTATATTAAAAAATCCTTTGCGGAAACTTGTATTGGAATAGCTAAATATTTTAACCCGCACTTGACACTTTTTTGGGTACTATAAAAACACTTTGCATATTAAATTTCACAAATGTTCACTTAAACAAAATTAATTAATTAGAAACAACACGAGTTCAAAAAGTTAGGTTATTCGTACAGCCATACAGCGATCATACTTGACACGCCACTTGCATGAACCACAAAACAATTTGTAGTTGAAATTGAGTGCACATGAGCCATCTTTTTTATAAAATTGAAACTACTCAGGACCAAAACAGTGCAACGCGCATTTGTTCGAGAGAAGAAACATCTGCCATGAACACTACTGAAGACCACGTTTTAAGACCATGATAACTTTAAGTTTTATCTTTAGACCTACTCTCCTCCCGTAAGTTTTTTCAGATTTTTACCGTAATACGACGTTTTCTCAAAATCGGCTGGACTGTTTCAAAAATTTAAAAGCCGTTCGGTGTAACTCGATAAGGACTTGTAATAGTTAAAAGTTTTTTGTAAATAGCAGAAAAGTGAAAATTTTTCATCCATGTTTTTGCCCGTTATATTTTACTTGTTATCCGTTTCAGGACAGTTGTAAAAATTATTAAAATAATAAAAAAAAATGTCTTTGCCCGCAGTTCTGAATTGATTTTAAAAATTCAAAAATTGTTCAAAAGATATTAATTGGGAATCGACCTGATTAGTTTTGGTAAAGATTCGTTGACATAAGTTCTTGTAATTAACTGTTGAAACATTTTTTTCGACTAATATTGCAAATTATATATATATATATATATATATATATATATATATATATATCATTATAGATAAATAAACACCGTAAACACCCACACAAATACTTGGCTTGAAACGTCGAGAAAACATAAAATTAGCAAATCGATTTTTTTATGAAAACAAACTTCTCCTTTGGAAAGTTAAAAAAACTAACTAACCATCGCAAGTGATTATCAAGCTTCATCGAATACCTTTTAAATTTTTTAAGTTGTAACAACCATGTTTAAAAAAATGACCTCGATGAAAGATCAAAAATCGACATTATTATAGATAAATAAACACCGTAAACACCCACACAAATACTTGGCTTGAAAACGTCGAGAAAACATAAAATTAGCAAATCGATTTTTTAATGAAAACAAAATTCTCCTTTGGAAAGTTAAAAAACTAACTAACCATCGCAAGTGATTATCAAGCTTCATCGGATACCTTTTAAATTTTTAAGTTGTAACAACCATGTTTAAAAAAATGACCTCGATGAAAGATCAAAAATCGACTCACATACACCACACATACTTTTTTGGTCTCATTCGATTCAGAATGAGTTGAAACGTCGAGAAAACATGAAATTAGCAAATCGGATTTTTTTATGAAAACAAACTTCTGCTTCGGGAAGTTAAAAAATTAACCATCGCAAGTGATTATCAAGTTTCATCGGATACCTTTTAAATTTTTTTAGTTGTAACAACCATGTTTAAAAAAATAACCTCGATGAAAGATAAAAAATCGACTCACATACACACTATAAACACATACTTTTTTGGTCTCATTCGATTCAGAATGAGTTGAAACGTCGAAAAAACATAAAATTAACAAATCGGATTTTCTCACAAAAACATAAGCTTCTTTTCGAAAGTTAATAAACTTTGGAAGTTGTGCATGGCAACGTGCCTTAAGGCAATTTGCTAAAACTTCCCGTACCAAAAAATTTAAATTTTTAAAAAAGTTCAGAACTATTCGAAAACTGAAAAAAATAAATTTTGAAATTTTGTAATGACTTTATTAAAAAAAATTTAGTCATTGAATCACTTATCAATATATTGATAAGATGTCGTATGTTTTTTTGAATCATTAAAATCGGCTGAACCGTGTTCCCAAAATTGTTGACAAAAAATTGTATCTGCACTTACATACACACATACACACCCATAACCACACATTAATTTTCTAATAAGGAGAACCCGCGCGTTGCTCGTCTCGGATTTTGATGAAACTTGGCACAATGGTAGATTTGATGCCCAAACTGACCGTGGTAAAATATTAGAGGCCTATGAAAAGCGGTTTAATTATAAAAAATAATTAAAGTTTGCATTTGTAGCAGCGCGCGGCATGCATAACTTGCAATGCTTTTCCATATCAATAGTTGAACTCCGGGGTTCAATTCCCGATTCAGATATAATTTTTTTATTACTTTTATTTGA